TGACATGGAGCCCACACTGCAGCTGTCTCGCGGCCACTGTCCCCCCAGGGCCCGGACACACCACCACCCTTAATTCACCGGGTCCCACGTCATCGAGCCAAGTACCTTTGGTGTAGTAGGACGCGGTGTGTGCTGTGTCGGCATTTGCTGCCGGAGGCGACACGGCGGCTGAGCCTGCTGTGGGTTTGCTGTGGGTTCGAGGTCATGCAGCAACAAGCCAATGGCCCCTGGGCCACCCTGCTGCTCCTGGGCGCTCCTGCCTGTCGGGGAGCGATCTGGGTGCCCCCACCTGCAGCCGGGTACTGCTTTCAACCTTTGCTGGGGCATGGGTGTCCACATCCCAATCCCTGGTGCCCATGATAATGATCCCTAACGTGGCAAGATGGACTTTGCCAGATGTGATTGAGCTCCTGGACCTCGGGATGGGAAGAAGATTCTAGATTCCCAGATAGGTCCAATCTGGTCACACACACTTTTTTTTTTTTTTTAAGATTTTATTCATTTGGAAAAAAAAAAAGATTTCATTCATTTGAGAGAGAGAGAGCACAAGCAGGAGGGAGGGGCAGAGGGAGAGGAAGAAGCAGACTCCTCGCCGAGCAGGGAGCCTGATGTGGGGCTTGATCCCAAGATCCTGGGATCATGACCTGGACCGAAGGCAGACGCTTAACCAACCGAGCCACCCAGGTGCACCATGATCACACAAATTCTTTTTTTTGTTGTTTTGTTTGTTTGTTTGTTTATTTATTTATTTATTTATTTATTTATTTATTTATTTATTTATTTATTTATTTATTTATTTATTTATGATAGTCACACAGAGAGAGAGAGAGGCAGAGACACAGGCAGAGGGAGAAGCAGGCCCCATGCACCGGGAGCCCAACGTGGGATTCGATCCCGGGTCTCCAGGATCGTGCCCTGGGCCAAAGGCAGGCGCCAAACCCCTGCGCCACCCAGGGATCCCCAAATTCTTTTTTTTTTTTTGGTATATTTTTTTATTGGAGTTCGATTTGCCAGCAATGTAACACCCAGTGCTCATCCCATCAAGTGCTCCCTTCACGCAAATTCTTTTTTTTTTAAGATTTTATTTATTTATTTATTCATGAGAAACACAGAGAGAGAGAGAGAGAGAGAGAGAGAGAGAGAGAGAGAGGCAGAGACACAGGCAGAGACAGAAGCAGGCTCCATGCAGGGAGCCTGATGAGGGACTCGATTCCAGGACTCCAGGATCAGGCCCTGGGCTGACGGCAGGTGCTAAACCACTGAGCCACCCAGGGATCCCCTTCACATTAATTCTTAAAATTGGAAGCTCTTTACTGCCTGTGGTCAGAGATGGGACTCAGGAAAGACGGGAAAGATCTGCACCTCAAGATCTGCAGGTGGGGGAGGGGCCGGAAGCCTGGGAACCTGCAGAGGCAGGGAATTCGATTCCTCCCCTGCAACCTCCACAAGGATCCAGCCCTGGGGACACTGGATTGTAGGATTTGTGGCCGCCCAAACCGAGAGAGTAAGTTTGTTTTGAGCCTTAAGTTTGTGTAATTTGTTGGGGGCAGCCACAGGAAATGCACACACCCCATTATCCTGCAAGTGTTGTGTGAAATGCTCCGATCCTAGAATGAGTGCAGCACTCTGAGGAGGAGGAAATCACTGTCCTGAGGACCCAGCGCCCCACTGAGCAAAAGAGGTTTCCAGCACTCACGGTGGGCCTGCCCTGGTCCCCCAACAAATCCTCCCAGGATGAAGAGGGTATCACATCTCTCTGAAAAACAGGAAAGCAGTGGGCTCCAGAGGGGGTGAGTCACTTTACCAAGGACACACAGCTGATGAAAGGGGTGGAACTGAGGTGCGAACCCACCTGGCAGGTAGGAGCTGAGTCCAAACTCTGGCTCACCATCCTGTGACAGCGCGCCCCAGGGAGAGGTGGGTCTTACCTGCGGGGTGGGGAGGCAGGGGGGGGTGAACACCATGAGTGTCATTGGGGACCCCGCCCCTCAGCCTGGCAAGTCAGTTTAAGGCACCCTGTCCCCGCTAGCTGACAACTTTTACGGCTGTATTTTTCTTTTCCTTTTTTTTTTTTTTAAATCAAACGGGCTTTTTATAACTTTGTGTTTGAGATTTTTTGACTAGGAGTCACACGCAATGTAAGACTGGCAATCATCATGCAGACTTGGGAATTCCTACAAAGTGAGAAAATTTAACCTAGCAACTGTTTTGAAATGTAATGAAATCTGTATGAGTACAAAATTTAGCAATTGATGAAGTTGACACATTTTGGTCGATGTGGAGACATTTGATAAGGTATTAATTCTGATTTTGCAGTTTTCTTTATTTTTGGAGCTGAGGATTTCTTCCTTCCTATTCTCCAGGCCTCATGATGTCTTACTGTTTCCCTGTACGGCACAAGGGCCCCCAGACCTTTCCCTGCAGGCCTCCCAGCGCCCGACAACATTAAGCACTTACTGTATGCAAGTAACAGTTCTGAGTTTTTCACGTATTTGACTGATTTCATCTTTACCAAGACCCTTTGTGGTAAATACTACATTGTTTCCTTCCACTGGTTAAGGAAGCCGAGGCAGAGAGGGTCTAACTCCCGAGCTTGTTCTCCTAGCCTCTACCCAGTGCCTCTCATTCCGATGGTATCCTACAGAACCCAGAGTCTTCAAAACAATTTTTTTTAAAGATTTTTTTAATCTATTTATTCATGAGCTACACAGAGAGAGGCAGAGACACAGGCAGAGGGAGAAGCAGGCTCCCTGCAGGGAGCTCGATGCAGGACTCGATCCCAGGACCCTGGGATCATGCCCTGAGCCGAAGGTAGATGCTCAACCACTGAGCCAGGCATCCCTAAAACAAATTTTTAATTATGATAAAATACATGTAAAATATAACCATTTCTAACGATGCAGCTCAGTGGCATGAAGCACACTCACCCTGCTATGCATCCACCCCCACCATCTGTCTCCAGAACCTTCCATCTCCCCATGCAGAGACCCTGTCCCCAGGAAGCACAGACTCCCTGCCCCCTGCTCCACCCCTGGCTAGACCATCTCCTATCTCTGTGAGTGGGACTCCTCTGGGGACCTCCTTGGACTGGGGTCATGCAGGAGGTGACCTCCTGGGTCTGGGTCCCCTCCCTGAGCCTACTGTCCTCAGGGTCTGTCCATGTCATGGCAGGTGTTCAGTGTATGGACGGACAACACTATTTATCTGCACCACCATACACCATTAAGATGATTATTATAGGGCAGCCCGGTGGCTCACCGGTTTAGTGCCACCTTCAGCCCAGGGCGTGATCCTGGCAAGATTCCTATGTTGAGGTGCTGGTCCCAGGACCTCAGAGGTGGCTGTATTTGAGACAAGGCCTTTCCACAGGCGTTTAAGTTAAAATGAGGTCATTCGGGTGGGCCCCAACCCACATGACTGGTGTACTTACAGAAAGGGGAAATGTGGCCACAGACATGCACACAGGGAGGCTCGGTGACGGAGGCAGAGCCCAAGGTGATGTGTCAACAAGCCAAGGGATGCCACCACAGATTGTCAGTGATCCCCCAAAGCTGGGAGAACATGGAACAGATTGTTACAGCCTCGGAAGGAAACTTGCCCCAGGCTTCTGGTCTCCAGGACCCTGAGAGCATAAATTTGTTCCCAGTACTGTATTACGGCAGACCCAGCAAACGGATTTTATGTACCTATAGTAAAACAGGCCCAGCTGTCAGGAAGGGGCTGTTCTCACACCCACAGGCTGCCCAAAGCTCAGTCTCACTCCTGGATGTCACTCCACCTCCTAGAGGGTGATCCTTCCACTGCAGCTAGGTGACAAGATCTCAAAACAGGTCTCACCCACAACCCCAGGCCCAGCACGGCCTTTATCACCAAACATGGTTAAGCCCAAACCCCGATTTCTAGACTCTGGCTTGTGGAGAAGAGACAGGCCCCGTGCAGGAGGAAACATGGAGATGGCATCCTGTCAACCTGTCATTGGGAAATGACTCTGAAAGCCCCTGTGGTGGGGGAAGCTCATGAGGTATTTACTCACTGCAATTCAAAGAGGACACCAAGGGGCAGAGCCGACCTGCCTTTAATTCTCCAGCTTCCACGGCAAGCTGGGTAGGATTTTCAGATTGCTCTTTTAAAACTAAACACCCCAGCGGGAACACAGGCTACTCTGGGAGAATTGGCAATTGTTCGGTAGCCTGTGGGGTGGTTGTCCTAGTTATGGAGGGAGGGAATCCAGGTTCCCAGCAGGGGACACTGGGGGATTAACTCTCACGACTCCGGATCAGGGCCAGGACTTGTGGGACACAGGCCCTCCTGCTTGTCCCCAGGCCTACCCCATTCATGGAGGTGGGAGGGGCATGCTTGTTCCTTGGACGCCCCGAGGTGGCTGCGGTCACCCAAGCTCCCTGTGGCAGTTCAGCTGTTCTCTGGGAGAAGCACCTTGCTGTGGTGCCATACTAGAGGAGTCTGAATCGAGGGCTCAAGTGCAGCACTTAGGGCCAGCCGGGTGCCTTGTCTGGCAGTCTTTAATGAAGAAAATTAGAATCCTTTATAATCACAGAAGAGGAAATTACATGTATTAATTTGCATTTCCAGGGAAACGGGTGGGTCAGGCACCACCCGTCCCCGTACCAAGCAGCACCTGCCCTTACTTAGCCAGACCCCCAAACCCTGCACACCATCACTGGACGTCCCCCACCCCAGGCACACCAGCAAAGGGGTGAAGCAACTGGTCTGAGGCCCCCACGATGCACACTCCCCTCCCCCAATAAAGAATTCCTAATTTGGATCCCAACTCTGCCACCTACTGCCAAGCCCTGTGACCTTGGGCAGATGACTGGCACTGAGGCACTCATTTCCTCATCCTCGTAAGAAGGGGAATGTACGGGGTGGTTGGTGGTTGGGAGGACTCGCTCACATGGGCTTACAGCCTCTACCCAAGATGCACCAGGTGCTGCTGGCATGGGTACTGCTCTCTGCTCTGGAATCACTGCGACAAACACGAATGCGAACCATAAATTTTTATTAATGGAAAATGGAATGCCTCGTTAACAGAAATCTTGTCTTAAAAATGGCAAAGAACACGTTTATTTAAAAAAAAAAAGTGAATTCACATTGTATTGAGCTACAACATGGTGGCAGGATTTGCTTTTGTTTCTTAAAAGGTTCCACAAGTTCAAGGTAACTCTGGCTGAGATTCAACAGTGCATCTTCCTACCTGGACACTCGGAGTGAGTGGGGTTTAGTAGCGGCGGGTGAAGTGGGGGTACGGGTGTGGGTGTGGGTGTGGGTGCGGGACTCTGCTGCCCCGGTCCTGGCCGGCCAGTCCTCCACCTTCCAGTCCGCCACCGGGCACCATGTGACCCTGGGAATGCCCGCCTTGTGCAAAGCCGCCTCGCCTAGGAACAAAGGCACATGTTTTGTCCCCTTGAAGTGCTTTAAGTTTTCCTCCTTATGTGGTGCAGCATGTGGCTCTGCAGCCTTTAGAGCCCGTTTGGCTTTTTCCAGGTGAGAAAAATCATAATCACAGACTGCATTCCAGGTAATTGAGGAGTGCAACTTGCAGAAGCTGCCAAGAGCCACTTTGGGGGCTCATTTTCAAAACATTCAACCCAGCAAGTTGATCAAACATGCAAAAAGGGGGAGAGGAAATGAGGGGCAGGAGCAAATTAATTTTATCCAAAGACAAAACTTCTTACCCCGACATCCCGCCCCGATTTGCCAGGTGTCCTGGCCCCGAGGGCCCAGACAGGCCCCTCTCACCACCTAGAAGAGAAGAAAAAGGTTGCACACACTCCCTTTTTGCAAGTTCCTGGAAACCTCTGTGACTGTGGAGGGAGCGGCCCCTGGAGTCTCTTGGAAATGTGCGGCCTTCCTTTAACTTGTGGGTGCGAGTTGGCCCGTACCTTGCCACCGCGTGTGCTCCCGGCCCGCCGTGCCTGTGTCCACTGAGCCTGGCCATGCGCGCTCCTGATGCTCCTCTAGCCTCTGACTATGCTCTGTCCAGTCACGTCCACCCCTTCGTCAAAACAAAAAGCAGACACGTAAGTGTCCTGGTGTGTCTCTACAGTGAGGCCGTGGCACGGCTGATTCTGCCCCAGGTCGAGGGCTTCTGGGAGAAGAGGGAGAGAATGAAGACAGATATGCCCCCAAGACACACAGGAGGCCAGCAAGCACAGGAGCAGCTCAGCACAGCCACATGTGTCAGGTGGGGAGACCCCTCTCAAGATGCACGCGGCTGACCCATGGCAGACTGACAAGACGGTTTAGCGATGTCTATGTGAACAGGCATCCTCACACGTGGCCGGTGAGAATGCAAAACAATACAGCACAGCGACCAGGGGACCCGGCAAGTCCACCCTCACTTACCCACACAAGGGAATGGGAAACGTGTTCACGGGAAAACCTGCGCACGAACATTCTTAGCACAACTCTGTGACAGCCCCAAAGTGGAAACAACCCCTGTTGTCCATCAGCTGATGAATGGAGAAACAAGACGTGGCCTCTCCACATGTGCACATTACTGAGCTATAAGAAGGAATGCAGCTCTGACACGTGAGCACGTGGATGTATCTTGCAAACACGATGCTGAGTAGCTGGACACAAGAGGCCACATAATGTGATTTCATTTGTGTGCAATGCCCAGAACAGGCAGAGAGTGGATCAGCGGTGCCAGGGGTCGGGAGAGGCAGACAGGGGAGCAACTGCTAAAAGGGGCTTCTTTTGGGGTGATAACAATGTCCTACAATGGATGACAGTGATGAATATATAGCTCTGAACACACTACAAGCCATCGAATGGTACACTTCAAATGGGTGAACTCTACGGCACGTGAATATGGCTTGAAAAAGTTGTTTAAAAGTAAAAGTTACAGAGAGAAACTCCAGGTACACAAATCCAAACCGGGTTTCAACACATGGGCACCAGTAGCCACCAGCGGGGACCAGGAAAGCTGTCCAGGCTGAGTCTGGAACAGCCAGCACACCGGCTGCCAGGCTGACCAGTGCTCCGAGGCCTGGGACCAGAGGCCCATCAGAGCCCTCCAACACATGTCCTCCAGGACAAATGCACGACTGCCTGGCCCTGGGCGACAGCCGCCCAGCCGGACGGTGACAGGGCTCAGGGCTATCTTTTATCCTCAGATGTGTTCTCCTGGTTACATTTCCCACAGGTATTTAAGGCAAAATGGACTAAATGGTATGCAAGAACCGAGTGCAAAGTAGGCCCCTCTGGAAAGGCGGCTTTACATTCCTGTCTCTGAGTGGTGCTTCTTCGCTCCACATCTGAAAACCCATTTAGGAGGCAGAACCTTCTGATGTGCACCACACCCACCTTAAATATGCCTAAAGGTGACTGGGGGAAAGGGGAGGGTGCATAAAGCTTCTCTAGGTCCCCAAGGCAAGTGTAAGAAAGGCTCCAGGGCAGTCTCCTTCAGCAGGCAGGGGCTGTTTCATGCAAATGAGCAAGGTGAACACAGCCAGGCCCGTTGCTAACCTGGGTGGAGGAGGCGGCCCCCGGCCCTCACTCATCCTCTTGTCAGAGGCGTAGCCCCCCCAGCCGTCCCGGGAGTCCCGGCTGTGGCGCTCTGGCAGTCCTCCATGGCCATGGCGGTCGTCTGAGTAGTGCTGGAAGGCACAAGAAACAGGGCGACTCTAGCCACGTCACTCTGGGACAGGCAGTGAACCTGCTGTAGCCGGCCAGAGTGTGGCTCCAAGAGGACCTGCCCAGGCCCGTTCTGGCCCTCACCTCGCCAGGTGCGCTCTTCCAATCCTGACAACGCCATAGGAACCCTAGCAGCGACCCTTGCTTCCTGATCCCCTCCTTGTTTTAAGTACTCTTGAGCACCCCTAAAGCTCCATCTCTGGCACCACCACCAAGTGCCAGTGGAGGCCTCTCTGGCCTGTGAGCATGAAGAGCCCCTCACTTTATTGCGCTTGACAGCTCTGAAGGGTCCTCTGAGAGGAGTCACTGAGCGTCTTCACAGGAAGAATAGGACACCTCCTCCTTGCTGAGGATAGGAGGGTCCCTCCCACACCCCCTGCGGTGGTCAGCGCCTGCCGATCCCCTTAAGCATCATTCTCTGGAGGCAGCACAGGCCTCTTTATGGGACACTGGAGGCAGTACTGCAGGTGGGAGTCATTCTGTGCCCCTGGCCAACCAATCCAGTGCTCAAGGACCCGGCACATCTTCTTACCAAGACAGAATTCTATCACATTCCCTCAAGAAATACACCACTGGGGACGCCTGGGTGGCTCAGCAGTTGAACATCTGCCTTTGGCTCAGGGCATGATCCCGGAGTTCTGGGATCGAGTCCCATATCGCACTCCCTGCAGGAAGCCTGCTTCTCCCTCTGCCTCTGTCTCTGCCTCTCTCTGTGTGTGTTTCATGAACAAATAAATAAAATCTTAAAAAAAAAAAAAAAAAAGAAATACACCACTGTTTTTTAAAAGGCCAGGATTCTGATGCCCACTCCCTACCTTTCTCCTGGAGACTCCCCTTTGCTCTAAGCATCCCTCACAGGGTGCCTGCAGAGTACCAGAGACATAAGGACCCCCCCCCCCATATGGGCAAAACATCTAATAGGCTAAGCCCCCAAGTGGGGTATCATGGGGCATATTCACATACCAAGGTACCAAGACTCAAAGACAATCTAAGGAAGCGGGCAACGCTGAGATCCTTGCAGTTTCTACTGAATGCAATTAAACAAAAACACTCTACATATTTGAAAGACACAAAGACTCACTAATCAGAAAACAATGATGTATACTTCCACTCACTGAGCAGAATGGACACTTCCAAAAACCTCCACCCACCCCAACAGAAGTAGGTGTGCCCCACACTTGGGCTCTGGGTTTTACTTACTTGCCCATCTCGCTCTCCCATCACTGACCTTGAACCTTCCCTCCTGCAAAAGGGAAATATCTCATTCCAATGGCAGCTGACGGCACTAGACAACATTACAACAGGCCACACACAAGAGTTCCACAATTGGGGTACTTATGCGATTTCACCCAGTAAGAACTGTAATTTACTGGCCTGTGGAAAAAAGCTGGCTTGCATCTAAAGCCTTCTCTCTGAGGGTTGGAGTGAAGCTGGATCCTAAGAAGGTGGGAATAAAGATTTTACTGAACTAAAATCCCTTGGAGTGATCTCAGAGGTAGAGAGAGACCCGGACCAGGAAGCCAATGCCTAATTGATCTATGGCCTGGTGACAAAATCCAGGGTCTGCCAGGGAAGCCTTAGAGGGTTCCTAACCTCTGGTTTAACCCAACACATGACTCACACCAAATCAAACCACCTCTAGCCACCATTCATTAAATGAGTGGCTGCTTAGCCCATCTCTCCCTTCCTTACAGAAGAGCTAATGAACAGTGAAATGGCTCAGGAATATGCAACCCAGGGGAGCATGATGAGAAACCCAGATGGCAAATTCTTAAACTAGAAAATTGAGGGCTGCCTTTCTAATAAACTATGGATACATATTCCTCTTTTAAAAAGACATTGGCAAGAAAAAAATGAAAAATAAAAAATTGGGACACCTGGGTGGCTTAGCAGTTGAGCATCTGCCTTCAGCCCGGGGCGTGATCCTGGAGTCCTGGGATCGAGTCCCACACTGGGCTTCCTGCATGGAGCCTGCTTCTCTCTGCTTGTGTCTCTGCCTCTCTCTCTCTCTCTCTGTCTCTCATGAATAAATAAAATCTTAAAATAAATAAATAAATAAATATATATATATATATATATATATATTTTTTTTTTTTTTCCCAAAAGGGCCTGGCTAAAAAAAAAAATCCTCAGACCTTCAAAACACCAAGCCAGTGAGCCTAGTAGGAACTTTCCCGAGTGCTACAGTCTATTCTCCCTGGTGTGCTGGTACAGAAACTTATGTTGGTCAGTGAACCCCCTGGACATGGACTCTGGCCCACTCTGCCTGCAGAGGATCACACCCCTTTTCTAAATGGCCTCCTCTCCGTATAAACAAGGAGGCTGGGCGTGCCCTTCTCGAAACCCTCTGCTTCCCAAGGGGCTTGTGCCGGTGGAGGGATGAGGTGGAAGAAGCATGGCTGGAAGAGAGCCCCGGGGAGCTGTAAGGCCCAGAGTGTGGGCCCTAGAGAGCTGAGCAGGGGGCTGCTGAGACTCAGGAATCACCCCCAAGCCCCCACTCATCTGTGAAGAGGGAAGTGCGTTGAACGGAGTTGAGGGCCCTCCCGCCCCACAAGATGAGGATGTCCCGAGTCCAACATCCTGGTCAATCAAGGCCGTGAGCTTCTAAATCCCACATGCAGTGGGTCAGCCAGACACTGGGAGCCTCATCACAAGTAGATCAGACGTCAGAGAACAGATGGGAGATCTATCCCTGCATCAGGCTGAGGTGGCTTCATCCACGGCTGCAGGACACGATGGGTGCTGACCTGTCAGCCACATGATCCTGGTACTGGCCTCGGTCTCGATGGTCAAAGTCATGGAAGCGGTGATCAGGCCGAGGGAAGTCTGGGCGGTATCTGTCCTCCATCGCCACACGTTTGCCTTCTGGCCAATAAGCATCATCTCGCCTATTTTTTATTTTCAAAAGGACGTGAATTTCATTTACGACAGAAAATGAGAAAAAAAGGAAAGGAAGTAGAAGTGGAAGTGGGGAGGGGAGCTCTCTCCAGACCCAGTATCATTTAAAATGTCCTGCAGGGCTAATCTCTAAACATTCAATCATTACTTCTTTGATTTGATAAATTAAAATCCCCCAAACTGCCAAGAGGCACGCCGGTATTCTCATCTGACAGTCCTGAAAGGAGGGCTGCTGGGAGCTAATTGTATCACAAGGCTGTTAATACCTTGATCCCCGCATGAGCCCAGATTCAAGTGAAATGAAATATTTGATTCCTCTGGAATGCCATTCCAAGCTGCCACATTTCCACCTTCCTGTCTTCTACGGTAACCTGAACCTCCCTCTGAGTTTTTTGCAAAAGCAAAGGGAATTAGATTGGGTGATAGTGAATTACATACAGCTCAGGATGGCATCCAATTATCTTCTTCCTGATTTTTTACCAGAACACTGGGCTCATGGGTGGTGGGGTGATGGGTGACCATCAATTAAACAGCTCAGAGGGGCTGGAGACCAATAAACCTACTTTGTGGACAGGAAGGCAATTTCCTTTTCTACAGTGCAATTCTGTGCTTCTCCCCCTACCAGGCGGACTGGCGGCTGTGGTGCCCACGGGCCTAACTACAGGCTTGGCAGGCAGGCCCCATGACAGGTACCTGGCAGGCGGTCATGCTCCACCAGGAACCACAGTGTGAATAATGGGGCAGCCTAAGCAAGAGCGCCACAAACTGCTCAGCGAGTGGCAACTAACAAGATTCTCTGCAGCATGACTCAGGGACAAGGCTGTGGAGCCCCCAGATGGAGAAACTGCATAAACTTCAGGTGGTGGCAACTGTTGAGTCCCATACAGGAGGCATTAGATTCAGCCTGTCAACGTCCCCAGCTCCCCAGGGAAGGACGGGGCTGAGCAATTAGGCAACTGAAGCGGCACGACTTCCGCGACCTTGGGCCGGTCCTTACCGCCCATCGTCATATGGCCTCCGCAGCACCGGCCGCCGCTCCTGCTCATAGCGCAGCTGCTCCTGCTGGCGCCGCAGCTCCTCGCGCTCACGGTGGATGCGCTCCTGCTCCTTGCGGCGCTCCCGCTCCACACGCATGCGCTCGCGCTCCAGCCGCTCCCGCTCCATGCGCTCCCGCTCTAGGCGCTGCCGCTGGCACTCAAGCTGCAGGCGTTCCCGCTGCAGGCGCGCCTTCTCCTTCCGCTCGTGGAAGGCCTCCAGGCGCTGTTCCCGCTCCCGCTGCTCGCGCTCCCTGTGGGAACACGGGGGAAGGCCTCCCTGACTTCTCCATGCTGGCACCAGGCACCTGGGCATTGTCCTCCCAATGGGTCGGGGCTGGGGCCGCTGCACTCGCCTTGTCCCTGAACCCCCACCTCCAGACTCTGCAGGGGTAAGCAGGGAGATGGGGGGGCATGGGCCAGGAGACACAGCCTGGGGTCTGGGGGGCCAGAACTTGGCTCAGAGGCACCAAAGTGAAGCCACACGTTAATGGGGAGAGAAGTTAGAGAAGCCAAGGGTAACTGCTACTACTAACACAGAGAAAACCCCGGAGGAATGCTGGCATAATGTAGTGTGATGGGCCTTCTTTCCCCACACCGTCCTTCCAAAGAAGCCTATATTTTCTAATCACAGTACCGTTTCCAGCTGACCTGGGAAGTTGTGGGCACAGAAGGCTAGGCCTGAGCCAAGGGTGCTGGAGCTCACATCACCAGCCATCACACACTAGGAGCTGAGCAGGGCTGGGGACGCCCCCTCCGCATCTGCCACTCCCTGCACCTGCCCTCAGTGACCAGAGAGCCTCCAAAGCCAGCATAAGCCAGTGGGAAACAAAAGACAGCGAATGGTGCTTTTGCTTTTTGAAAGTTACATAAGTAGGCATGCTGGAATCCCACTACATGAGAAAGCAAACATAGCATAACTGGAAAAGTTTCTATAAGACCCACTTTTGCTCAACCAAGTTCTCCAAACACTATGATGTAAAGCTTTCGTTTTGCAGTGGTAGATAAACGAAAATGACAAGGGCACTCTAAACAGGAAATGGCAGGTGAAACTAGGAATGACAGGCTTACTTCCATAAACTGTCTCCTTAACAAAAGGTAGGCGTGGCAAAGGATGTGGCGTGTGACGAAGGCCACCTGAAATCGCCACTAAGTGTAAGACATTTTAGGAGTGAAGATGCCACTCGCGTGAATAACATCTCTAATAAAAGTGCCACATCCCTTGGCTGCATTCTTGATCTTATTTATGGGAGGTTTCAGCAGGGAAGACAAAGGCCTCAATACTGGGGACCCTTCCATCAGAGCCAAATGTGGGTAAGCTTGCTACAAGGGCCAGTGGCAGAAACCACGTCATGACCAGGGCGCCTGGGGGGCCTCAATGGATTGAGCGTCAGATTCTTGGTATCAACTTAGGTCTCTAAAGAATCCAGCTCTGATGAATATCATGCCAAGGCTGGCCATGATCCCTCAGGATCCTTGCCTTTTGCCTTGGGAAACAGGCAGTCAGCAAGCCTGGGCTGGGCAGGACACTTGCTTGGGGAGAAAGGCCGCGCCGCCACAGGAGACCACCCACCTGCCAGCCTGCCGGGCCCCACTCACCGCCGCCTCTCCGTCTCTCGGATCTCCCGTTCCCGCTGCCTCTGGCGCTCACGCTCTCTCTGCTCTTTGATTTTATCAAATGACAAGATGTCTCTCTTCTCTTTGCTTTCTGATTTGCGATCTTGACTCTTGGAGCTCTGTTTACCAAAATTGGTTTATTAACATCAGAAAAACACAACCATTGCATGGTGAAAGTCAGATAGGCGTATCTGGGGTAGACTAAAATTCTTCCATCCCACACGGTTTCCACAAAGGCCCAGTGGACAGGTCAGCTCCACCACAGCCCAGAGACGCTGCTCACTCTAGAGAGCTGCTTTCACACATTGCAAATAAAGGGAGTCCTGGAAGAGGAAGGAGGGATGACCCCCCAAGGCCTACAAACAGGTATACTAGTGCAAAAGATAGCTGTGTCATCTAGAACAAGGCCTCACAGAGCCATGGGGCTCGTGCACAAGGGATGATGGACTGCACTTCTCACTTCTCGCCTGCTGACTTAAGCCTCAGGCAGGTGGCCTTCAAATCCAAGAGGCCAAAACTTTGCTGTAAAAGAGCATCCTAACCAGCTACAAAGTATAAACACGCAACCACTGAGCCACTCTGTTTCCAGGATAAGGCACGAAATATTAATCGCTCATTTCTAAGGCTCTCAGGGGCTAGGACACCTAAGCTGGCCATCATCAGTCTCCCAAGAACTTCTACAGCTTGGGACACAGGGGCTCCTGAAGACCCACCACATCAGAGTCTCCAGGGCAGGGGCCTGGGTGACATTTTAAAAATGTCCTCAGGTTATTTTCTTAATCACCTCGTAGGTGGTGGGGGTGGAAGATCAACTCAATAGAAAAACAAGCAATAGTTACAAACAGATTGTTTTGCAAAATAAAGAGGGGAGCACAGAGAGAACAATCTCATCACAGAGAAAGGTTCAGAAGCCCAAACACCATGACAACACTCTATGCCTATGAGATAGATAGTTTTGAGTTTGTTCACACACACTGCTAGCTGGAAGGCGGAAGGACTGCCACCCTACCTGCCCAGGCAAGGGTGCAGCATGGTAGAGGCCAGTGAGGCCCTGGGCACTGGACACACCCAGCAACTATAATATCCTGTGCCCTTTCTGAAGGGCACTCTGAGAACATCTGTCAGAATAATGCATGTGCTCCTTGGCACCTGGAAACCCGGAGTCTGCCACAGCGTGTGCAAATGCTGCTCCACCCTCAATAGGGTATGGGACAGGAGGGAGTGTCCCTGAGCAAGGGACTGGGTAAGAGGACTATAGTGCAGGCATAAATACAGCTTTCATGACAGAAAGAGCGTACACACGCCACCTGGATGGCTCTCAAGGGCACCATGCAGAGGTCCTGTGCTATGTTCCCACTGTGACAACATTCCACAGATGGAAAGCAGATGACCAGTTTCCCGGGGCTGGGCCGGTGCGGTGGATCTGACAATGATGGGGTAACAAGCAGATCTCTGAAGTGACAGGCTGGCCCTGGATCCTGATGGTGGCGGTGCTTACGAGACTTCACCAGTAACAGAAAGTCCTAGCACTCCATGTACACACACCCTACAGACCAATGGGACTGTTGTGGCTTTGAAACTGGACTGCAGTTAGTAACATGTAACCACTGGGGGAAGTGGGGTGAAGGGTGCATAGATCTCCATACTGTTTTGGCAACTTCCTGCGAATCTGCAAGTGTTTGGAAATAAGGCGTACACACCGTGTTTGTGTGTGCAATGCCTTTGGAAAGGAAGTGTGGAGTCCACGTGAAAACAAAGAGGCTGCTGCTCCACTTCTGCTGTCATCCTCCTATACGACCTCAAGGTTCTAGTCAGGCAAATGTTACTACTATTTATTTTTTTAACATCAGAATTATTTAGGTGGTAAGATTATGGATTGTGTTTTTGTTTTTCTTTAGGTTTCTCTATTTTATAATTTTTTTTTTAACAGTTTCCACTTAGCTCATAAGAAAAATACCATTATGAATGACCTTGTATAAGAAAATGCAAATGTTTATTTGAAAACTAGGTCCTCCACAACAGTGTTCTTGGATGAATGCTAGTAGTTCTACGTACACTCTAAGAGAATAGCTCTCCTCAGGTACATTTTAGCTAGAACCTTCAGCTGGTAAGCAGAGGGTTGTGTTTTCCAGAGTAGAAAAAAACAAAATGAGAAGACACTACTTTGTCCAGCTGTGTAACACTTAAGAAACAGAAGTCTGTTCTCTGACAACGTGAAAGTCAATATTGCAGCAGACCCTGCTTTTCTCTCCGGTTAATGTAACAGAAGATGAACAAATCAACTAGCACTAGGTTAACCAAAGAGCAGAACCTGCCTTCTGACTTGGGATAGCCTGGGTCCTGCCCATCCTACCCAATAGTGGGCTTTCTGTGAACCAGGTTCCTTCTACAAGATGGTATAACCTGACAAAGAATCAGGAAAGGGTCAACAACACATCATGGAAAGTAAAAATATTAAGTGCCGTCTTGAAATAAGTTGTAGCACCCAACTTTGTGTGTGTATATACAATCTGACAGTTAATCACATGCCTTCTAAGTACTTCAAACAACTCCTATTGAACTTTTAAAGGCAAAACGTTCTTTTCATAATACAAACCAAAGTGGTCATTAACCCGCCCTCGAATCAGCGGGACTCGAGGCAGCAGGAGCAACACTTACTCTCTCTTTTGACCTGCTTGTGGTTTTCACGCTAATGACAGGCTCTCCTTTCGATTTATCCATTACGACCGTCCGTTCCATTCCTCTGCTTCCTTCAGGAAAAAAACAGCCATCTGTGAACACCTGTGGGTACCCCCGCTTCCCAACAGCAGGCTCTCAATGCTCCCTCGAGTGACACGCGCTAAGCCTTGGAGCCCCACACCTCCTCTCTCTCTCCTCGTTGTGGCCTGAAGAGAGCACTACCCAACATGAAGCAGCTGGAGTACCTTGACAGGTCTTTGCTCACCTGGAATAAAGTGGCTGTGATTTCCTCGCATTTCACAATGTAAATCTAAGTCAAGGTGCGTTCTGCAACATAAAGACATCCCACCCACAAGCCGCCTTTACCCGCAGGCTAAATCCTAGGGGCTCCGGGATAACCAATTTCCATTTTTTGATCCTCCTCCACATTCTGGAAAGCTCTGCAGAATTCAGGCCCTTGTATTCTGAATTGGATGGCTGGGTTTCCCTTCCTTCATCTACGGCAATAAAGGCTTCCAAGTGGATTCTTCCCCTCAACGACACAATAACCAGACTCTAACCACCGTGAGGATTACTGATTTGGGGAGATTTGCAATACTCGAGGAACATTTTAAAAACACGTTCCTCATGAGACCGCCGGTAAATTATCCCAAACACTTAAGATCTAATTTGTAATGCGCTGTACAAAATTCCAATGCTCCAGATGGCTGAGTTTTGTTTGTTTTAAAGGGTGGGGGGAACATGGGCAAGGAGAACTGGTTTTGTTTTTTTCCACAAAACATTCTGTGGAGCCTCATGCAAATCCGAAGGTGTGGAACAACCTGCAGAACGGCATCAAACCCGTGACAAGAACCAGGACACCTTTCCCTCGCACATCTGGACGCTGTTCTGCCAAAGTTATGCAGGAAGAGAAAGAAGCCCAGTCCCTGAGCCGCCAGTGACCATCAATTACAGACAGAGTGGAACCCTCAGGCGTGTGATGTCACCAGAAACTCCAAGCCACTTCGGCCCACAGCCCTGCTGCTTTAACAGCTCAGCCCAGCCCAGAGCACACCTCCCCTGCCCCACCCCCGCCCTCTACCCTCCCTGGGAGCACCTGGTAGGCTCGGCTCACCGGATTTGGTGACTCTGGACCGATTTGTAGGTCCTGGTTTCGGCTCATCCTCATCTTTTTCTTCCTTCTTAATGTCTTCAGGCTTTTTTTCCTCCTTTTTCTCCATCTTCTCTTCCTTCTTAATCACGGTTCTATTTAGAAACACGGTCATCAAACTTGAGTTCCTGGGACTCTGGCGGCAGTTCACACTCACTCAGACTTCCACACAAAGCCAACCAGCTGGGCAGCAGGCGGTTGGGGAGACTTATGGGGAAACCGTGGTGATAATGACACCCTCATGAGACCCAGGCCTCACTCCCCCGGAGTCCTCTGCTACACCTGCAAATACGCAGCACAAAGCTGTGGGCTCAGGGATATTGTTCCAAACTGTTGGATGCACTGCTCTGCGAGACCGGCTCACGGCCATACGTGAGACACACTCTCTATGATCTAAGGGTTCTTGGGAAAAACAGATTTTCTGTGCTACATTCTGTGTGGAATTTTTAAGTTTATGTAGAAGAAAACATTTTTTTCAAAGTAAGTACAGTATAAACATAGGACGGAGACACAGCATGAATCGGATGTGAGGTACCTGCTACACGAAGCAGTGGGCCATCCGCCCTCAACACCGCACCTGGTAATTTCTGCATACCCTGGGGGAACCAAAACCATGCTCCATTCCAGCTCACATGGAAGCTGTTAGTAACATTTCAACCGAAGACAACTTTATTCTAAGCAGGGAACTAAATCACTGCCACTCACACAGGTCTCCCATATTCCCTAATGTTGTTTGTCTCAGGTAATTAAATGGCACTTATTAAATGCCCACCGCAGGCCAGCGTCCAGGATGGGAAAGCCAGGCCCCTCTGGGTTCCCTAACCAGCGCTCCCTGCCCTCTCTTCCCTATAATGCAGGCAGAGCTCAGGTTGTTCAAGGAAACCTCTCCTAGCTCACTCTTCCCCTCTCAACTTCCACAGTACAAAGGTGTCATCTTTCTTTCTTTTGGGGGGTAGGGGTTGGATGGGGGGGGGGAAAGGGAGAGGGAGAATCTTATTAAGCAGACTCCATGCCCAAGGCAGAGCCTGGCCTGGGGCTCAATCTCACAAACCCAGAGATCATGATCTGAGCCAAATTAAGAGTCAAATGCTGGGCAGCCCAGGTGGCTCAGTGGTTTGGCGCCACCTTCAGCCCAGGGCGTGATTCTGGAGACCCAGGATCGAGTCCCATGTCGGGCTCCCTGCATGGAGCCTGCTTCTCCCTCTGCCTGTGTCTCTAATAAGTAAATAAAATATTAAAAAAAAAAAAGAGAGTCAAATGCTTAACCAACTGAGCCACCCAGGCACCCCAGAGCTGTCATCTTTAAAATAATATTCAGGGGATCCCTGGGTGGCTCAGCGGTTTGGCGCCTGCCTTTGGCCCAGGGTGCGATCCTGGAGTCCCAGGATTGAGTCCCGCGTTAGGCTCCCTGCATGGAGCCTGCTTCTCCCTCTGCCTGTTGTCTCTGCCTCTCTATCATGAATAAATAAATAAATAAATAAATCTAATTCTAAAAAAAAAAAAATAATAATATTCACTTTGAGGTGCCTGGGTGGCTCAGTTGGTTAAGTGTTTGTCTTTGGCTCAAGTCACGATCTCAGGGTCCTGGAATCGAGCCCCATGTTGGGCTCTGCACTCAGCGCAGTCTGCTTCTTCTTCTCCCTCATGCTCATGTTCTCTTGCTCTCTCTCAAATGGATAAATTAAACCTTTAAATTTTTAAAAAATATTCACTTGGAGAAAAACCTTTTTTTTTGGGTCTATACCCAATGTGGGGCCCAACCCACAACCCTGAGGTCAAGAGTTAAATGTTCCACTGACAGAACCAGTCAAGTGCCCTGAGAAAAACTTTAAAATTTTTTAAAAAAAGACTTGAGAGAGAGAGAGAGAGAGAGAGAGAGAGAGAATGAGAATGGGCAGAAGAAAAGCATCCCTAACAGACTCTGCTGAGCGCAGAGCCCAACGCAGGGCTTGATTTCACAACCCTAAGATCATGACCTGAGCTGAAACCAAGAGTTGCCACCAGGCACCCTTAAAATTTTTTTAAATATAAACACGCACCATAATGAATGATGATGTGTACCAAAATCAAGAATTGTTATTTTTAGCATATTGGTTTTGCTTAAAAGAAAAAAAAAAACAAGAACACAAAAACAAAATACAAAACCCCAAACATTGTGTATATACCAACTTATTCAAACAAAAAATTTCCCTGTGACAACAACCAAAGGGCCTTTACTGTTAATCACTGGGTTCCACTGCCTGTGCCGATGCTTTGTGAGGCTTCTGTTGCTTTATAGACTGGGACGGCACTGGACACGCTGCCCTCCAACACTTCTTACCTCCAGATTGTTGCAGGTAATACACACAGATCTGGTTCCCCTCAGCAGCTACAGCAGTTCATGCCCCTTCTAACAGGGACAGAGATCACTTCTAGTGACTACATGGCTGCAAATAAAGCCACAATTAATCACATCTGATGTGCCTCTCCCAGCTGCTCTGGGGTGGCACCTTCTCTCCCCAAGGAGACCCCCCCCCACTTGTTTTGTACTCATGGCACCTCCTAGACAAAGGAACTTCTCAACACTAAGTTACAAAGGAATTTCTAAAATACAAACATAGGAGTAGGAATAAAGGCTGGAGCCTTTCCAAATGGCAATATACATAAACATTCCAAAGGCATTCCAAATGGCAACTCCATAAAAATCACCACCAATACAACCCTAGGAAGACTAGCTGCTTCTTTGGAAAGATGTTTCTATTTCACTTAGGGGGGACTACTGAACCTAGATATTCTTAAAATTAAAGAAAAGTTAAACAAGGGTGTTTACTGGAAAGAAAAAAATACGGTTCAAACATTTTGAATTGCTCAACCTCCTAGCCAAACCATTTGAAAGCAGTTTGGTTTTAAACATCCCTAATTTGGGGGTGGCTCAGTGGTTGAGCATCTGCCTTAGGCTCATGTCATGATTCCGGGGTCCTGGGATCAAGTCCCACGTTGGGTTCCGCACAGGGAGCCTGCTTCTCCCTCTGCCTATGTCTCTGGCCCTCTATGTCTCATGAACAAAAAAAAAATCCTAAAAAAATAAAATAAATATCCCAAGGTCATCGCCTGGTTATGTGTCCCACTGCTGGGACAGCCAGCTTGGACTGAATCCTGGCCTTGCCACTTCCTAGCTGGGCTGAGTGCTCTTTAGCTGGACACTTCCCTTTTTGGAGTCTGTTCCCTCTGCAACCTAGGACTCTTCCAGGGACCAAAGGAACCACCTGATGACAAATACAGGTGTGTTTTTTGTTTATTTTTAAGCACTGGTGATAGAACACTTCTCTGGAGAAGCTGCTGATAAAACTAGAGGTCTTGCTTGTAAATATGCAAAGGCTAATCTGACATCCATTGCTCACTGGCCTATGGGTTCCAGTTCGAAATGAAGACCAGCAATTAAACCTTCCAAAATGGAGTTAATTTAGGAATATCAATGAAGTCCACACATCCACTCAACTACAAATTTTAACGTAAACAACAATGGCAAAATGGAATCACTATGACAGATTCTCAGCAAAGGGTTCAATCTTTGCACTACATCATTTTCTACTGATTTAGTTGGCTCTAGTTGGATCATTTTCTCCAACTAGAGTGAGTGTGCCCCTAAAAGTGCAAGTAAATTGTTCTGACAAGATACACTTACTGTACTCAGCACTGAGAGTGCTCAGCACCACCATGAGGAACATCACCAAAATCTACCTTCTCCAGAACACACTCAACTTGTTCTATGCCAAGATACCCCCAATGTGCCACAGTGAATTCACAGGTACCCGGGATACTTTATGTTTCTTTTTTTTTATTTATTTATGATAGTCACAGAGAGAGAGAGAGAGGCAGAGACACAGGCGGAGGGAGAAGCAGGCTCCATGCACCGGGAGCCCGATGTGGGATTTGATCCCGGGTCTCCAGGATCGCGCCCTGGGCCAAAGGCAGGCGCCAAACCGCTGCGCCACCCAGGGATCCCGATACTTTATGTTTCTGAGTGAAATTCAATACTCGACAACTGTCAGATGCTGCACAAACTACTTGCTTGAGCTCATTCTTTTTGATATTAGATCATGTTAAGTTCCTGTGAACGTTTCTATAGTTTTAAAAAGTCATGATAGGAGAATAAATAAAATAAAATAAATAAAATAAATAAAAAATAAAATAAAATAATAAAGTAAAATAAAGTAAAATAAAGTAAAATAAAATAAAATAAAATAGTTGTGATAGGGGATCCCTGGGTGGCTCAGTGGTTTGGCGCCTGCCTTTGGTCCAGGGTGCGATCCTGGAGTCCCGGAATCGAGTCCTGCATCAGGCTCCTGGCATGGAGCCTGCTTCTCCCTCTGCTGTGTCTCTGCACCGCCCCCCCGCCCCGTCTATCATAAATAAATAAATAAATCTTAAAAAAAAAAAAAGTTGTGATAGAAACCAAGCACTGCATACACACCAGTCTGGATGAGAAAACAATTCCACGGTTTGAGTGGTTGTGCAAGGACCCAGAACAGTGAGAGGAATGAAAATTATTACTCTTCCCTCTTGCGTGTGTCATTTTCTTTCACCAACCCACTAAGTCATTTGGGTGTAAACACTAAGGCTCCTGGGAGTACAGTCACTAGGTGCCCTTACTGAAACCTGAACATGGAAGTGGAAGCAAGATGCACAAACGTGATACTTAAGTGAGAGGCTGGTGAGGCTGCCTGTGGAGAGAGGAGGTCATGTGCTCCAACCTGAGTGACCCTGTGGCTGCCACCTGCACTCTTCCTGACCCTCCCCTCCCCTCTCCCCTGCCAAGGGAAAGCGTAAGAGAAAAGTTTTAAATAATCACTTTACTTTTCAATTTTGATCTCCACGGGATGATGTCTGTCAACACTAGATAATTTTTCCTTCTTCACTTCACACTCCTTTCTGTCAGACAACTTCTTTCCAGCAGGTTCATTTTTTGCCTAAAATACAACACAGATAGAAATAGCTCCTGGCCCAGATATTCTTGCACGTGAACTCGATGGGTTACAACAGGCAAGAATCACCTCACCTTCTCTACGGAGATCATTCTCCCATGAAGCTCAGTTCTGTGGAGGTGGCTGATGCACTTTGTGGCCTCATCAGATGTCGACATGGTAACAAATCCATAGCACCGAGCGCCGGGACTGCGGGCATTGGTCACCACTTTGGCCCCGACAACCTTTTTGAGAAAGGACACTCATTTTCCCATATCCATCACCATACAATTTGTCAAAAAGGACTAGCGGTTTACTAATTGTCACAACTCTTTTTTTTTTTTTAATTGTCACAATTCTTTTCTCTAGTTTTTACTTCTTCACAAATGGTTCTCCAGAATTAGTTATTAAAGTGGTTCTAACTCATCCTCACTATCAAAATGAAATTGATTTTGATACAAGATCAGCTGAACTGGGAAAGCTAGAGACATTTAAAACTTCACAAACCACAACTCATTCATTAATTAAAAGTCCTTCCCACTTAGATCATTTTCTCCAACTAGACTTCGACTTCAAGACAGGTTGGTGCTCCAAGCATGTATCCTTCCTGCTGCCTGAAAGAACCTTGCAAACTAAAGGAAACATGGTCAACCAGGGCTTTCAGACACCGTAAACCAGGCCAGATGGACGGGACGGTGACTCTTATGGCGGGGGGTGGAGGGGAACGGACGACGACACGTAAACTGAGCCATATGGTTGCCCCAGTTTACTTCCTAGAGGTTCCAAGGCCATAGGCGGGGAAAGAAGGACCTGAGGTAAGGGCAGGGTGTGGGATCTGCAAGCTGAGCATAAGTCAGCATCTAAAGAAATCAAGGCAGCAAGAAATCATAGTACTGGAGAAGAGGTGCTGCATAAAAACAGCTCCAGAGAGCTGCAAAGGGCCCCCAAAGTAGCACCCAGGTGAAGTACCCCCTGGAGGTTAGGGAGAAAACTGCCTGTAAGAGCAGAGCAAACAATCCCCAGGCTCAACGCCTCAAAGAATTCATTTTCCAGAGTGAACTTGACGGCCAGGATGAAAGAGCTTGCAATTCACAGGGCATTAGGCTGAGACCTCAGAAGGGTGCTGCCCGGGGAGTAGACAAAGGTAGCCCCAAACTCAGGCTGCTCAGACCTAATGAAGCCTTACAGCAAACCCAAGGAGGAATAAGTAACTGAACTGTGTCCCAGCAAAAGCTCAAGAATGTTTACCGGGACACATAAATAACTAGAATACAACACGTAAAGCACAATGTCTGGTGTCCTATCAAAAATGACCAGGCAGGGGGATCCCTGGGTGGCACAGCGGTTTGGCGCCTGCCTTTGGCCCAGGGCGTGATCCTGGAGACCCGGGATCGAATCCCACGTCAGGCTCCCAGTGCATGGAGCCTGCTTCTCCCTCTGCCTATGTCTCTGCCTCTCTCTCTCTCTCTGTGTGACTATCATAAATTAAAAAAAAAAAAAAAAAAAAGACCAGGCAGGCCAAGAAAGGGGAAAATGACTCTAGTGAAGAAAACCAACCAATAAACAGAGATCAGGAACACATTCCAGTAATAGGATTAAGGGACTATGACATTAAAGTTACTTCCTCTATATCCTAAACATTCAAGAACTTGGAGATACCACTGAGCATGTTAGGTAAACACATAGGAAATATTTAAGAATGGCCAACCCGAAATTTTGGAAATAGGACAGCCAGCAGATATTACAAAAAAAAGGATGAGGGAACTTGGAGACGTAGCAACAGAAGCTACCCAAAATGAAAGAGGAGAAAGACGAAATAAACCAAAACAGAACCAGAGCAACAGCGGACTGCAGGACCACCCGTGGCATCATTAAAAGCAAGAAACACAGGAAAAACTTAGTGGATGAAACCACAGCACACTTGCAGCACGAACTGCTCCAAACCAGTGACAAAGAGACCCTTCAGGTAAGCTAGACGGGAAAGACACCTGTGTCCTAAGGAACAAAGTGAGACCCACAGCCAACTAGTGAGACGACATGAGCCAGCAACATGGAGGTGGCACTGCTATCTGCTCCCCCCACCCAATTCTGCCCCAGCAAAAACAGCTTTCAAAACGAAAGCAAAGGGATGACAATTTTCAGACCTACAGAAGCAGCAGGAATTCATCCTTGGCAACCCTGTACTCTAGGAAACGTTAAAAGAGGGAGGAAAACAATACCCAATGGGAACCTGGATGTCAACAAGAGAATAAAGAGCGCCCCAAAAGATGAACACAGAGATAACTAAAAGCCCTTCTTATTTATGTAACTCTTTAAAAAATAACTGTTTAGGGCAGCCCTGGTGGCGCAGCGGTTTGGTGCCGCCTGCAGCCCGGGGTGTGGTCCTGGAGACCCGGGATCGAGTCCCATGTCGGGTTCCCTGCATGGAGCCTGCTTCCCTCTCTGTGTTTCTGCCTCTCTCTCTCTCTGTCTATAAATAAATAAAATCTTTAAAAAAAATTAAAAAGATAAAAAGTAACTGTTTAGTGCCGCCTTCAGCCCAGGGCGTGATCCTGGAGACCCGGGATTGAGTCCCACATCAGGCTCCTTGCATGGAGCCTGTTCCTCTCTCTGCCTGTGTCTCTGCCTCTCTCTCTCTGTATCTCTCATGAATAAATAAATAAAATCTAAAAAAAAAAAAAAAGTTCAGGGCAGCCCGGGTGGCTTAGCAGTTTAGCACCACCTTTGGCCCAGGGCATGATCCTAGAGACCTGGGATCGAGTCCCACATCAGGCTCTCTGAATGGAACCTGCTTCTCCCTCTGCCTGTGTGTGTCTCTGCCCCTCTCCCTCTCTGTCTCTAAAAATAAATCTTAAAAAAAACAAAACAAAACAACAAAACTGTTCAAAGCAAAAAAACAAGAAAGCCTCCCCCAACCCAAAAATGTCAAAACCCAACCAATAAGCCAAACAAACATATTAATAAGCCAAGAATGTACTGTGTTGCTTATGAATCAGAAGTAAAGCTGTGATGGCACCACCACAAAGGCTGGGAGGGAGGGATGGTGGGGAACTGTTAGCAGGTTCACACGCCCTCTCGGGAACGAGAATCTTACTGAAGGACAGACTGTGCTGAGTCTTGTAACAGAATTCCTAATAAGCACAGTCACCAAAGAAAAATGTTCTAGTTCAACCAACGGCTCAAGGAAGAAACCAAAAGACAAAATATCTTGACACAAATGGAAAGGAAATACAACCCAGCAAAACGTACGGATGCAGCAAAAACACTAAATGGCAAAGTTCACAGTGACTGAGGCCCACATCAAGAAACAAGAAAACAGCTCAAACGAGCTAACTTTACACTTCAAGAAATCAAGATACAGCAACACTGGTTATGTATACTAGTTCCGGCGACAAATCATTAAAGTAGTCAAATGCAAAAAGCAGTAAATACAGAGAAGGGATCCAAGCAACAGAACAGAAGAGAGAAAACACGGAGCCAGATGGCAAATTGAAACCCCACTGTATCAGTGCTTGCGTTAGGGACACCTGAGTGGCTTAGTGGTTGGGCATCTACCTTTGCCTCAGGTTGTGATCCTGGGGTCCTAGGATTGAGTCTCTCATGGAGCTTCCTGTGGGGAACCTGCTTTTCCCTCTTGCCCATATCTCTGCCTCCTCTCTTATGAATAAATAAAATCTTTTTTTTTAATTTTTTAAATTTATTTACGATAGTCATACAGAGAGAGAGAGAGAGGCAGAGACACAGGCAGAGGGAGAAGCAGGCTCCATGCACCGGGAGCCTGACGTGGGATTCGATCCCGGGTCTCCAGGATCGCGCCCCGGGCCAAAGGCAGGCGCCAAACCGCTGCGCCACCCAGGGATCCCTGAATAAATAAAATCTTTAAAAAAAAAACCAAAAAAACCAAAAACGAATGCTTGCATTAAACGTAAACTCATCGGATACTCTGGAGAACTGAAGGTACAAGCCAGCACCTACGTAGTACAGAGCCCCTGATCAGGACACAAGAGCCCTGGATCTGGCTCTGACCACCTGATTCAGTCAATGTGAGCAAGTCCCCTCCTCTCTCCAGACCTCAGAATCCCCGACTATGGATGACTGGACAGGGGCAGGAGGTTCAGGTGGGGACAGTATCCATCATCTCCACCTTCCCAGCAGACCCTGGGGTCCATGTTTCCACTTGTAGAGATGAAGGCTGTCTCCCGGCAGAGGAAAGCCCCCCATCTATTCATAGCACCTCATCCAGGGCCCAAGGGGACAGACCCTCCTGAGACACACAGATGCCATGCCTCTAAGAGATGAAGCTTCCTCTTCTTCCCTCTCTTCAAGGTCAGAGGGCTGGGGGCTGAGCCAATTACAGGGTCACATAATTTTTCCATCAAACTAATTATCCTTGCAAGGACACCACTTCTGATGGCCCTGAGACGAGAATCCAAGACCACCTTGCCTGTCCCTGCCCCCTGGCCTTGCCCTCTACCTTCATGGCAGCCTTTGAGTAGTTCATCCAAAGGATAGACTTGTCCCCTAACAGGGCCCAAATCCCACGGCATTGGTCCAGTGCTAAGATCAGTGGCAAGGCCAACTCTATAATCACTCAGGCCTCGGCTTAAACAGCACTTATTCAGCAAGGTGCACTGAACCCAAGACCCCTCACTAGATTTGGTCTCCCTCTCACACACTGATGATGGCTGTTATTTTCCTGAGTAAATCCACCGCAACGCACTGCATTTACGTAAGTGATCTCTCCAGCAGCTTGTTAAGATCTAGGACAGAGCCCTTACAGCTGCTGCTCGGCTTCGTAACTGGAGGCCAAATCCAGAAGTCAGTCAACAAAATAACTGATGACCGCATTACAGGCTTCACAGCCCTCCTCAAAGACCTTCTCTGTGAAGACTTGTTTTGTGAATACTGCTTCTGGGTCCTGTCCACTCAAGTCACGAATGCATTTGCCAACTCCTACTCGGGGACACAGATCTGAGCAAAGAAATGCCTAAGGCAGGCAGGACATCCTGCCGAAGCTCTGCCTGGACTCCCTGCCAAGGGTCACCACCTCCCCAACCCCTCGCCCCAGCACCCAGCAGACCAGGGCACTCCCCCCAGCTTAAGGTCAGACTGCTTCAAGATCTAATTCCAGGACAATGAAAATTGGTTTTAAACATCCAAGTCCCTGCAAAGCTTCTGAATTGTGTTATTTTCTTTCTGCCCCTATGGACTGCCTATTCGTTGATTTATTTTTAAATCACTATCCTGTTCTACTTCTTGGACTGTATATTTAAAAATGTGGGAATATTTAAGGTCAACTCTTCACTTACTGTTTGGGAAAAAAATTCAGCAGGCCAGCTTTAAGTTTTGGATGGGCTAAAGACCAAGCAGTTTCTTTAAGAGAAGTTAAAATGAAGCATAAGACTGTTTAGACTGCAGCTGTTTCCATATGTTTTCTGTAACACAATGAACTACCTGTTGCTTATTATCCACTATCAAGGAGAAAACAAGGCACACTACCCCCAGACCAGGTGGGCCTTTTCTCCTTCGTGGTTGTTTTTTCCTTTAAAAACCAGCACCAAAATAACAAATAAAAAATAAAAAAATAAAACCACCACCAAAAAAACCTCCAAAACACACAGAAAGGACCACCAAGGAAATTAACAACAGAAGAAAGAACTCTGCCAATTCCTGAGTTTGTTATTGATCACCCAATAGAGGCTGGGAGGCAGATGCTGTGGGGGCGGGGGGTACACACCTTCCCATACTTGTTGAAGAGGTTCTTCAGATCGGTGGCTCGAGTGGTGGACGACAGTCCACTGACCCACAGGTTCCTGCCAGAACTGCTGCTGGTGCGACCTGCTGCAGAAGGGAGAGGATCAGGCTTTATCCCCAGACCTCATGGGAAGTGCGCCCTGCCTCTGAACACACGCAGCCCACCCTTCAACCCCAACTACATCCAACTTTGCCTCTTCCAGTCTAAGCATTTATAGGATGGAAAACAAAAAAATTGTGTTGCAAAAACTGTTCCCTCACCCAAGGAATCATCAAGGTCCTCATCGGTTACAAAAGGAAATCAATTTGGATGACCAATTTTCAACCGGGACGGCAGTTTCTACAATCTTGTTCCGTTAATATAATGGGCAGAATGGGACCGTAATGGGATGTAGCGCACTAGGATTTTCACTATCCCATAAATGACAACCACAACAGAGACATAAACCACAGAAGCTCACCAACATTTCAATCTAGTCTCTCAAGATACCGCTAGGTGGTTACTTCCGGTAATCCTCAACGAAATCAAGGATCCCCAGTGTGGGTACCTGTGAGCCCCTCCCTCCCCAAATAAGGGATCCGTAGGCAGCTCCCTGCCACATTAAGTTAAATCATACCTTTTTCGTCTTTAATGATTGGCTTTATATCTTTTTCTTCCTTAAAAGAGCTAGAGACAAAAGTGAATGTTACTCACATGGGAAGAAAACGAAAGAGAACTAAATTAAAAGTATGGTATGTGCTAAAACTGAATACCTACCAGAAAATTAGTCTGAAATAAAATTTTAAGACACCTCTGCAAGCTTCTATAGGAAATCTGACCCCCAAGATACAACGTCAGATTCTTAAAAGTCAATTGGATTTAGCTGAAGATAGCAGTTAACAATTTAAGAACACAACCATAGTAGGTTGAGAAAAAGAAAAGGAATAGATTCGCCCATTAAAAATACACAACGAGAAATAAAACATTGTTTAGAAGTAAACTACAATTGCATCAGTCTGGCTGGCCAATTGCAGAAAAAACAGCTTATGTGTGTCATTAAATGACCAATGAAAAGGAGATAGCGTCTGGTCTAAAACTGAGAAAAAACAAACCTCATTTTCTGATCAGCGCCCTCACTGGCTGAGGACTCTTTAGGAGCCGGAGGGACTTCATTACAAGCTTCAAAAGCAAACTTCTTCACGTCTTCTTTGCTATCTCTGGGGTCTGGGCTTGAGGCTTCCTGGGGCGCTTCCGCGGCCTCCTCGCTAGAGGCTTCCGTGTGCTCTGAGGCTTTACTACTCTGCTCAACTGGCTTCTCTAGCCCTACAGGCTCACAGTCCGTCCGCGCGCCATCGCCTGGCTGCTCCACGGGCTCCCTTTTCACTACCGCTAACAGGGTGTCTGCCCTGCTCGACTGAGCTTGTGCTGTTGACTCGCTGGCCAAATCTAAATCACCCTCCTCCGGATGGGCGCTGCCAAAAAGGTCCTCTTCCTCCGCAAGCTTTCTGTCTGGCCCCACGCTACTTGTATCCTGTGCCAAGGGCTGCTCCAGCTCGGAACCTTCTTCTTTTACTGGCTCAGATTTACAAGTTTCCCCCAAAATGTCGAGTATTTTCTCATTTTCTACGGATTTAACAGGAATAGAATGGCACAAGGTTTAATTACCAGGGAAATAAAGCAATCACAAATGCGGAACTGGCACGGCTGCCATACTAACACGAAGAGAACCGCTAGCTACACAGAGATTGGAAAACCCGCGGGTACACAAAGTGACAGTGGTTACACTACCTGCGCTCCGACTGCTACGGTAAGCCGCTACGCTACATGGAAGAGAAAAGGCCCCCACAGACTCAGACACCTACAACCACGTGGCTGCTTCTCGACAGTCTTCTTCGTGTTTGTCTTCAAGTGTGGGTCTTCAGGCTTAGTTTTCCAATGTCCAAGGTGCTGAATCGAACGCGGTCGCCATTCACTGAACAGCTCAATTTCCCAATTTCCTTGCATTTCTTTTAACGCAACGGTCCAAAACGCAAACCAGAAACTCTTCTGACGGCAGGAGGGCAACGCAGTCCATAAGGGGAAGAACACGTTGCAAGTTTTCCTGAAGAAGCTCCGTTTCCTCTTCTGGTATCCAGTCACTTCTCAGGTCATAAGTGCCCTGACAACCGCTTTACCCTGCCTTAACTGTGTTAATCAAAACGACTGCGGCAAAATATCACAAGATCTGTTTCATGTGTAGAAACACATGGAAGAATCACAGGGGGGATTACTTAAATGCCACTCTACGTGGTCAGAGAGATGAAAATAATCGCTACATCTCACCAAATATATTTGACCTCCAGAAACCAGAACGGCACTTCCACAGATCTGGTGATACGAGTGGGTTTCCAATCTCTGATCCTTGTACGATCTGGATTGTCCACCATTAAAATAATTTACACCACCGTACATAGCTTAGAATATATAGATTGAAAAAAAAAAAAAAAGAGTGGGAAAACTTTCAAACCATTAACTGTTGTGTTTCTCTTATCAGTACCTGGCTCCAATAGAGGTTCTTCAATATCCTATTGTAAAAGAGAAAAGAAAAAAATCCACAGGGCACTTAAGAACTGGGCAAATACACGTCCCTGGTAGATACAGCTTCAATCACGTGTGAACAAATACCTGTCTCAAACAACTTTCTCCACTTAGAACATGTTCCATTCTGAGATGATTCAGTGAGGACCAGCCCATGTTGTTGGCCTCTCCCTCTCTTGAGGGTCTGGCCACCCCACCTCAAGTCTGAGCTGACCTAGCAGCCCCTGGAGAGGGCAAAGATAGCCACAGTGAGAGGTTGCAGAGATGGTGACTGCCTTCTAGATCCATGCTTGACTTGAGAAAGATCTATTTCTCCCCAAATGAGCTGTTATTTATAACTGGAACCTGCCAATAAGACCATATAGTTTCCTCCTCTCAAAACCTTCCCCTGACTTCCCACTGCACTTAAGACAATAGGCCAAATACCTTCCCTGACCCACAGACGTGGATAGTCTGGCCCACACACACCCCCATCTACAGCCTCACCCCCGCCTCTCTGCCCCTACCTTGTGTCCTGCATGCCTACATTCAGCCCCTCTCCCTCCTGGCCCAAGGTACTCCCCTTCACCAGGCTAACTCCTGACCCATGTGTCTGACCTCAATTTGGGTAGGGGTTCCTCTGGGGAACTTCCTCCCTGAGGAAGCGTTTACAGCCCAATGACCTGAACAACTCCCTTGAATTTTTTTCCCCTTCCAGTTACCTTCTTGTTGGTTATTACGCCACTCCCACTAAAAGGCAAATAGGACCGTACTTGTGTGGATGGACTTCTTACCCCAGGCACTCAGCTCAGAATCAGCACTCAACGAATCATTTTTACACACAGATACATATCCTTTTACACTACAGAAAATCAACCACTCTCGTCACATTTCCAACCACGTAACGCCAAACAACAGTTTCTTACCGGAGGTACTTTGAAGTCCAATGATGAAGCATCCAAAGTGTTCTCGAAGCCCTCCCCATCCACCTGAAAGGCAAATGGAAGACCACTTAGTGGAGACAGAGTTGTGCCAAGGCCTTTCTAAGTGGCCTACGTGTCTACTTCCCTCAAGTGCCCACCCACCACCTGCAAGTTCACTGTTGGATTATTCAGTATCTTGCCAGCCTCCTGCCTGTTCCAGGACTGGGTGGTACCGCACCTCTGTGAGGGTCTCACAGACACCAGGTGCTCAGTCAGTACTGGCCCAGGAAGGTACATATTCAGTTCCTAAGCAGCGATTATTTCCTAGTCGTCCACATTCGTGAACCAGACACGATTTCAGGGCAGGACTCAAAGGGAAAATGAAGAACTTCATACTTCTCTGATTTCACTTGGTAACAATACTTTTTAAAAATAATACTTGGGCACTTTCTCCTAGGGTGCTTTATTTAAAACGTTTAACTGAGGGGCACCTGGGTGATCCAGTGATTGAGCTACTTCTTTCAGCTCAGGTTGTGATCCTGAGGTCCTGGGATCAAGTCCTGCATCAGGTTCCCCTCAGGGAGCCTGCTTCTCCCTCTGCTGAGGTCTCTGCCCCATTCTCTCTCATAAATAAATAGATAGATAGATAGATAGATAGATAGATAGATAAATAAATAAAATCTTTAAGAAAATAAACAAGAAAAAAACCCCACTGAGCTGGTATCTTTTTTTTTTTTTCCACTGAGCTGGTATCTTAAACGTCGCTCAACTGGAAAGCTTTTTACCTTAAGTGAAATACAAAAACATGCCTTCCCAGACTTTTTTTTTTTTCCCTTTTCCACGTTTGAAGTTTATGACCTGGATGCTTTAACTTTGAGGTAAGAAGGGCAGCCCCGGTGGTGCAGTGGTTTAGCGCCGCCTGCAGCCCAGGGCGTGATCCTGGAGATCCGGGATCGAGTCCCACATCAGGCTCCCTGCATGGTGCCTGCTTCTCCCTCTGCCTGTGTCTCTATGAATAAATAAATAAAATCTTTAAAAAAAAAAAAACAAGCTATGAGGTTAGAAACCAAATCTGTGCTCTGGAAATAATTAACACATAAGATCACTCAGAGAGAGGCAAGCAAGTCAGCTGCTCAATGACATGCTAGGCCGAGGGGCAGTGATATTTGGAGTTTGTGACTTTTGACCATTAAAGTTTAAAGTCCAGTCCTACGAAAGCACTTTTTTCTCCTTCCAATTCAAAGCTAGAATGCCTTTAAAAAAGAGAGATAACAGAAAACCAAACCAAAATACAAAAAATACCACCCAAACTAAGAGGGCTGAGTATGCCAAGAAGTAAGATCAAAATGGCAATCGGTTTTAGGACGGCCACCAGAATTCTCCACCAAATGCTAGCAGTGAAAGCTTAAGAAAGCAACATTGCTAACAGAATTCAAGCCCTCTTTTACATACAAGGATGTTTTCCTTTCATGGGAGGGGTACTTCTGAGGGCATGAATACTCTCCTTTACTCTTTGGTCTTTTACTATAACCACCCTTTGCATACAATGAATCTTAAAAACAAAATAAAACGGGATGAACCCACTGATAAGATTCTGAACTGTTTTTGTTTCTTTTTCCACACTTTCTTTTAAGATGTTTTCCAAAAGAAAACACTCTCACCTATGGGGTCAACCTTTTATGACTTATGCTTAGAAAGAGCCTCCGACCCTTCTGTAAAAGTACTGAAGGAGCGCCTAGGCGGCTCAGTCAGTTAAAGTCTCTGCCTTCAACTGACTTCATGGTCCCAGGGTCCTGGGATTGAGTCCCACATCGGGTTCCCTGCTCAGCAGAAAGCCCGTTTCTCCCTCTCCCTCTGCTCCGACCCCTGCTTTTATGCATGTGTCCTCTGTCAAATAAATAAAACTCCCCAGCATCGTAGAAAAGTGAACCATTAGTTAACATCTGACTTAACGTTGAGTTTAAATAGATATAATTTACCATGAAGTTTTAGACACAGGACTCCGTGTTTATGGTGATGGCTGACTTGGCAGTGCACTATTTAATTAACCGCCAGCGTGTTTTCCCTCAGGGCTACCAGCATATTCCACTATGTCTTCAAGTTACCTACAGCATGCTCTGTGAGCTGCGCCGGGAGCTCCTGCAGTTGTGCTGCCACGTAGTCTTTGCTATCACAAAGGGAACCGAGAATGCTGTCAGCACCGTCCTCCCCAAAGTCGGGAGCACTGCTATTCTCAACTTCACTTTCTTCCAACACACCAACATCCATCATATCGATGTTCTGCAAGCTCTCTAAACCTGCATCCATATCCTCCTGTAAAGAGAAGGCAAGGTGTCAACAACCAGGTGGCTGATCACAGAACTGCTGGGGTCTCTACTGTGGATGCCACATACCTGCCCGTCTCTGGAATCTTCTTCCAGGCCATTGTCTTCTGTACCTTCTTCTTCCATCTTTTGTCCTAATTACAAAATAAATTTTCAGTCACATAATACTCAGGTTCTGGCCTTAAAAACGTGCTAATCTTTTATTCTAGAACCACCACCACCCCCACCCCCCGCCCAGGAAGGGCGTGTGCTGAAATGTCTGACAAGGAATTAAAAACATAAGTCATCTATCTAGAAACTACACGTAGCCCAAACATTCAAAAGGGAAACAAATCACAACAGTCTGCTCTTATGTGGGATGCCAGTTGTTCTCAACAGGGGAAGTGGGGTGGAATTTAGCAATGACTGGAAACATTTCTGGTGTCACAACTCACGGATGCCACTGGCATCTAGCGGGTAGTGACCACAGATGCTATCCAACATAAGATGGTGCACAGGATAGTGCCCTGCCAGAAAGAATTACTTACCCCAAACTGCCAACAGTGCCAAGTTTGCAAAACACTGCGGCCCACCAAAGAGTGTCTTACAACTTTAAAACAACTTATGCTTCTAAACAATATTTAACGATATTGGAAAATGCCCACCAGGGGAAAAAAAAAAAAACCATACAGAGTAGACCTAATTTTTGTTTGTATGCAATCAAGTGTAAAGCTGCATTTATAAAATATACACACGAGAATGACTCAGGCAGTCACCAAAAGGGGTGAAGATACACGGCAGCAACATTAGAGATGATTCTACTTTCACGTGCATACTTCTTACATTTTCTAAAGTATCCAAAGGTACACTTTCTATAGATTTTTGAAATGAGAAAGCTAAATAGAAGAGATATCAGTCTTTGAGTACAGATGCCAACCGTAGTGTGTACCCCTGAAGCATCTTCTGCACCATCGTTATGAACAATGGCTCTGTACTCTTTAATACTCTCCACAACACCAGCAGGTTTATCAGCTGCACTTGACACAGGAGAATTTGGTTCAGCTCTTAAAAGCACTCTAAAGATGTTTGGTAGCAGCACCCACTTTCAGGGCCTCTAAAGAGTATCCCGCAATACCCACAAAGGATGTCGGCAGGAGGGATGCAGACCAAAAAGTGCCCTCAAGGAGAGGGAGATTGACAAACACTGGGCAGAGAGGCTGGACACCGATCCTAAGGGCCTGGCTTCAGCTACCTAAAAGCTGAAGGCGTGTGGGACAAAGATGCAAGAAACCCTGATTCAAAATTGTCACCTTTCAAAACACACCCACAAAATTAAAAAATTTTGCCTATTTAAATACAAGTTAGTTAGAAGGAGGTTTCTTGTTCTAACTCATGATGATGTTTTTTCTCAGAAAGCTTCACAACTTTTTACTTTTAAGCAACCTTGGAGACCTAATTTTGACCAGGACACCGTGAGGGCCCAATGCTTCATATAACTAACCATGTGTGCAGACACCTACAGAGAATGACACTGTCTCAACAGCCCACCAGAGCTGTCCTCTGCCCCAGGGCCCAGGCCACCCCTTTCCTCTGAGCCTCTGGCGACCTCTCAGAAAAAAAGGAAGGCGAAGGGACTGGTGTCCTTCTCCTCCCAGCTACAGCTAGCTCTACTGCCACCAACATTTCTTTTCATCTACAGAGTACTACCAAAGCTTTTTTTGACAAAACGGTAAGTCCAAGCACTTTTACCATCACCTAAATTGTAATCCAGACATTTGGACACGTGCTGGAAGCACTTGGTTAAGGTTCGGTTTGTCTAAGGATGCAAAGATCCCTGTTAAGAGCCAAGAACACTGATTAGTAAGCCTTGAACCTCTCAGGTTTTAAATGAGCACCTACATTAAGAACTTTCGAATGAACACATACACATACACATCCCTCACTCTGCGCTCACTCCGCTAGTCAGCATTTATACCTGACCACTCTAGGGGCGGCAAAATCACATTGCGTTAAAATTCAACTTAAAAATAAATCTCTTTTAAAACCTAAACAGTTTAGCCTTTCAGAACACACATACAAGGTTTTAAACAGACAAGTCATGTGAAAGTTCTTCTAGAAAAGTGCTTATAAAAAGGTAAAAAAATCACTGAAAATGTTACAAGGTAATTTCTTTTCCCTTTCTAAGCATCTATCCTCCAAGGCCTAAATACATAGGTTTATGTCCAGCCATGACAATTTTTGTGTTGGCATTTCTCAAGAAAATAATCCTCATCCCCCAGAAGTTCCTAATTACATTGTCCCTACTCCTATAAAACCTAATGAGGATGAACACCAATGCAGGTAACAAGGTTTCAAAGTTTCATGAAATTAAATGCTTCCAAAAATAGCTAGTACCACCCACAAAAAGAGACAAGGCACTAATCGATGTCACAAAGTGAAGGAACCTTGAAAACATGCTCAGTAGAATAAGGCAGACACAAAACACCACATGTTATAGAGTTCTATTTACATGACACAGAAGTGTCAACTATGTAGTGCCAGGGGCTGTGGGAGGGGCACGTGGGGAGCAAGTGATAACAGGCACAGGGGCTTGTTTTTGGGGTGATGAAAACCTAGAATTTGATAGTGTTGACAATCACATAACTTTGTAAATACACCAAAAGCAACAAGCTATACGCTGTAAATGGGCAAATTGTACAGTATGTAAACAATACCTTAATTAAAAAAACAACAAACCTCGCTGCAGGGCACCTGGCTGCCTCAGTGCGTAAAGCATATGACTCCTGATTCTGTGATTTTTAAGTCCTGATCCAAGGTTGTAAGTTTGAGCCACATGTTGGGTGGAGAGAGGACTTAAAAATAAGATCTTAAAAAAAAAAAACCCACAAAACCTCACTGGTAAAAAATAGGGTGGGTGCAAATACTCCAACAATCTATTTTGGATCCTTAGAGATACTGGCTTCTAGTCCGTCTCAGATTGGTGTCATCTTCTTTCGTTTAAAGTCCCGTTTTTGAACCAGGAAGGAAGCCACGTAGCGAACTTGGTCGCTCAGAGCAGATTTAAGAATGTGCCTCACTCCGGTTCTTTCTGAATCCCAGGACAAGAGTTGAGATGTCTTTAACACACACTTCAATTTTACCTGGCACCTGCACATCTCTCTACTCCTCCCAGCACCCAAAGAACTACTTGCAGGGTAGTGAAAATGAAGCCTACTTGTTAAATGGGAACAACGAAGGGCAATGACATCCTCCTGGCCTAGAGGACAGAAGCGGCGTTAAAAAAAAAAAAAAAAAAAACTTGATCCCGTGTAAGTAAGTTCTCTACACGCTCAGGCCTCCAGCAACAGTAAAGTACAAGCAAATACCTTTAATACACCTCTTTGCTGTCCTCTTGCTTGTGGCTTCCAGTGCAACACCAATTTCATCAGGATCCTGCCCTTCTTCCTTAACCGCCTGTTAGGGAGAGATGGAACTTTACAACTGGTGGAGAGCTGCAGGGCACGTGTTGTTCTCTTGTTAAGCAACAACGTCCAGCAGACAAAGTCAAACACGCTCCCTCGCAAAGAGCAACTCTGGGTCTGGTATCTGGGCGGCAAGCCCAACAGGCACGGGTTCACCGGGATGAACCCGGCCCTAGGCGCAGAAGACAAAGGGATGCGAGTGGGGGGGCTCCAAGGTGCGGGTCAATGACCAGGGCTAGAAACTGCCCCACCTTCCGCTTTAGTAAGGTGAACAGGAAGGGGCGCCGCACTGGGTCTACCACCTACGGAGGAGGGCTGAGTGGCGTTCCACCAGCTCGGTCTGACACTTGGGGAGAAAACCCACTAGACAAATGGGGTAGAGGGTGTGTGCCTGGCGGAGGCGGGGAGGGAGGGAGGCGGCTCAGTGCCTCTTCCCCAGGACTGCCGCCCGCCTGGGCACTCCGGGGTCAACTCCAGCTCTGCAAGGAGCTCGTCTGGGTCGCGCAAGACCATCCCTCCACACTCAACCTGGGGCATCAACGCAGGACGGTGCAGGGCGGGAGGCGAGGGAAGGCGCACCCTTTAGGAAGCACCCTGGGGAGACCCGCTAGGACCTCAGGGCGCCGAGCAGGAGAAGAGCAGCGGAGCGGAGGGCACGACCGGAGCAGAGCTCCTGCAGGGGGAACAAGCACGACTCCCTCTCCGGGAAGGTCCCAAAGCCTCGTCACTCCTCTGTTCTCCACGGGAGGAAACTGAGGCGCGGGGAGCAGAAGGCACCTACCCAAGGTCACGGACCCGGGTCCCCCCCCCGCTGGGGCCCGGAAGGAGCCCAGGGGCCGCCCGGTGGCCCGAAGGACGCGCTGCCAGCACTGCCGAGGCGACCAGCGGGGAGCGGGATCACAGGCGAGGCACAGAGAGGGGCGGTGACGGGCCAAGGTCACACAGCCCGGCCGGCCCGGCCCCCGGGGCCCCGCGGGCTCAGTCCCCGGCGGGAACGGTGGAGGGGAGGCGCCCGCGTCCGCGCGCCGCGGTGACAGGCCCGCGCGGGGGCGTGCCCCGGCCCCCCGCTGCGCCCCGGGACGTCGGGCCGCCTCACCTTCTTGAGCCGCTCCATCAAGACGCTCTTGTTGCCGCCCGTGTCCAGGTTCCGCTTCTTCAGCTCCGCCCGCAGGTCGATGACCCGCAGGTCGCTCAGCCGCCGCGTCCCGGCCTCAGAGGCGCCCGATCCCACAGCGGCTGTGCCAGAACCCGACTCGCCGGACCCTGCCAGAGTCTCCGCCATCCCAGGTTCCGCGTCCCCCGCCACCCACTTCCCACACCGCCGGCGGCCGTAGCGGCTCTGAGCACAAAATGGCGCCGCCTAAGAGGAAAACGCACTCGCTTCCTCCCGCCCCGCTTTCCGGCCGCGCATGCGTGCCGCACACGCCAGCTTTCTTCACAGCACGCGCCCTCGCGCGTCGACCAACCGCACGTTCCCCGCCGCAGTGCGCAAGCGCCGTAACTGCAGCACGCATGTGTGACGGCCGTGCGCGGCGGGAGGCTGTCGACATGCAACGCGCCTGCGCACAGCCCTTTGAGCGCTCACCACGCATGTGCACACGCGACCGGCAGCGTCGGCTCCGCGCCGGGTGCGCCTGCGCAGAAGAGAGGCGCGCCAGGGCGGCTGGAGCGGTTCCCTCGCAGGCGGCGCCATTTTGTGCTGGGTGCCGAGATAAAACCGGCCCGGTTCTGTGTGAAGTGGGCGGCGGAGCCAGGGTCCCTGGAATGGCGGAGACTCTCTCAGGCCTAGGCGATTCGGGAGCGGCGGGCGCAGCGGCTCTGAGCTCTGCCTCGTCGGAGACCGGGACGCGGCGTCTCAGCGACCTGCGGGTGATCGATCTGCGGGCGGAGCTGAAGAAACGGAACCTGGACTCGAGCGGCAACAAGAGCGTTTTGATGGAGCGGCTCAAGAAGGTGGAGCGGGGGCCCTGCGGGGGCGGCCGGGACGGGGGGCGGGGGGGCTCCGGGCTGCTCCCCCGGCTCCTCCTGCCGGGCCCCGGCGGGATCTCCCCGCGCGGCGGGGCCCCGGGGGAGGGAGGAGAGTCCGGGCGCGAACCGGCGCGGGCGGCGGGCGGCGGGGCCTGGCGGGCGGGGGCGCCCGCGGAGGGCCTGGCTCTCGGCCGCCCCCGAAAAAGACGGGGAGCCCCCGCGCCCCGGCTTCCCGGGCGAGGTGGGGGCGCCTCGGCCAAGGTCACACGGCCGTGCGGACGGGGCGGCGGGACTGGGACCCGGGCCGGCCGCGGGGCTCCCTCCGGGCCCGGCAGGGTGGACGCGCCGGGCCCACGCTCGGAGGTGGTTTTTTTTTTTTTTTTTTTTTTCCTTTAAATGTGAATGCTGCAGCCGTGGGTCGGGGAAGTGGCGCGGAAAGGGAAGTGCTGTCTGCGATGGCGAGTGGGAAGGAACAGACGCTGGCGGGCGGAGCGGCCCGTCCCCGTCCCCGTCCCCGCGCCTGGGCTCCGGCCCCTGCGGCTCTCCGCGGCCCTCCGCGGCCTGGCCCTGGGCTCCCAGCGCTCCCAGCGCTCCCAGGGCGCCTAGCGCCCTTCGGCCCGTGTATTCTGCAGGGAAAAGGGGAGAGCGCGCTTCCGTGCTATAGGATTAGGCGAGATTGCATGCAACGGGCCTGGCGTGCTGCCTGGCACAGGTCGGAGAGGATCCCTGTCCCCATTGGCCGCCCTCCTCTGTGCCACCGTTCATCTGCAAAACCGGGGCCCTCATCCCTATTCTGGGGGTGGGGGTGGGGGTGGGGTGAAAAGCATGAGCAGTTCAATGTTCGGGTCGCCCTGCTTCCCTTTTTTTTTTTTTTTTTTTTTTTTTCCATATTCTTGTTGGCTTCTTTGCTTTTTCTGCCGTTCACCCCCCCTCCCCTTTTTTTTTCTCTTCTTGAGCCTTCTCCCGTGCAATCTCAGGCTCACCACCCCCAACCCCTGCAGGCAGTGTGATTTGCGACTTCTTCCACCCTCCTGGCTCCCGATCTGAGGACCCAGGCAGGGTATTAATTATTACTGGTGACTGTTAAGGGAAGTAGGGATTGTTTCCATTTTCATGAAGGAGAAAGCTGGGGCTCAGAACGGTGGGTTGGTTAAGTTCAGAGTCAGTTGGGCTTTTCTGGCTTGAGCTTGTGTTTGTTTCACCGTGGAAACCAACTTCCTTTACTCCTCGGGTTTCGGCAGGTAGTTCATCAACTAAGGTGTTCTAGAAAGAATGCCACCAGGGCCCCGGGTCTGCAAAGCCAAAGTGGGACCTTTATCTCCTCTACTCGCAGTCTGCGAGGCTGGTAGGATGGCATTGAGAACCTTCCCGTCAGATTGGTAGTGGAAACGGGCCTGTGACTTCAAGGATCCTCCCTCTCATTTCTGAGGCATTTTACATTTCTTTTTTCTGTTTATTTTCTCAGAGGTATGGTCGTAGTACATAAATATCATTGGTTTGTACGTTTATCTGCTCTCATCGAGTGCATCTGGAATTGTTGGTCATTTTTTCTTTTTCTACTTCTGGCATATAGCTAGGGTCCTTTTTCTGGTCATTTTTCCAGGAAGGGCAAATGAGGAAAAGGCTGAAGGAACACAAAGAGTGTAGTTTCCCAAGCTCTATAAAGATGACTCATAGCCCACAGCGTCCCTAGGGATGATCCTGTAAACACTGCACCCAGAGAAGACCTATTGAGGGGCAAAATGGTACAGCTCTTGTCTGGGGCAGTTCTCTCTTCTCCTAGGGGTATTCCATAGTCCTCTTTTGCCAGCAAGAATGGGAGGGACTTTCTGGTTGTGCTTTCCTTGATTCCAGAAGCAGAACTCCCAATTCCTTTTCCTCATGCTGGCTTTGGAGAAAAGGGAGAGATTTTCTCTGTTCCTGGTACAGATTCGATGTGGAGCCCCTAAGCCCCATTGCAAATTGAGACTTCCACAATAAGAAACTGCTGAGGATCTGAAATTGTTTAAACTATTTACAAATTAAACATGCTGTTTGAAGTGTTTTTTTAAGATTTTATTTTATTTATTCATGACAGACACAGAGAGAGAGAGAGGCAGAGACACAGGCAGAGGGAGAAGCAGGCTCCATGCAGGGAGCCCAACGTGGGACTCGATCCCGGGTCACCAGGATTACACCCCGGGCCGAAGGCGGCACTAAACCGCTGGGCCACCAGGGCTGCCCTGAAGTGGGTTTAAACAGAACTTGTGTTTGTAGAATAGTACAGTAACAAGAGAAAGGGTTATATCAGTAAAACCTAAAAGCAAAGCCCAGTATTCAAGGATATCACTGATGTCGTGCTCAGTAAACATTTGCTGCTCACCTCCTTGGTGCTACGCGCTGTGCTGAGCGTGGGTGCAGACTGTTCAAGGGAATGATGAGCTCTTGGGTGGGAGGTGGGGCTTGCCAAGAGGTGGTTATAATTCCCTATCCTTTCAGGTAGGTCCCTTAGTGGTTAAGAGCAAGACCTTTGGAGTCAGTCATAGATGTGGGTGATCTGATGAGGTGGTATGGGTCATGTCCAGTCTCATGGCACACACAGTACATCTCAGCCAAGTGAGTAAGCGTTTTTTCCAGACAGTTCCAAGAGTAGGCATGGGGATAGAGAGGATGTCACGGAGGGTCGAAGCAGCATATTGCTGGGTGAAATCATAGGAAATGGAAGACTGTGCTTTTTGAGTTCCCTTGGGTCCAGGAGGAATAGGATGAACTAGATTGTGGTGACCTTAGCATTAAGAAATAAAGTTGATTTCAGAGCCTTTGTTCCAAGATAGAGCAAGACAACAAGTGGGTAGGGGTAGGCCCTTTCCAGATCAGCAACCTGAAGTTTCTGTGAAAGTCAAGTCTGTATGCTGCCCTTTTTGGTGAACTTTTTTACCCTTCCCTTCAGGCAATTGAAGATGAAGGGGGTAATCCTGATGAAATTGAAATTACCTCAGAAGGAAACAAGAAGACCTCAAAGAGATCCAACAAAGGTATGAAGGATTTTATAAATGGTGCAAATGTTGAGGACTTTCTTCACAATTGCTTCCTTTGCTAATGAGCCTGTTTACTTGGCTGTGTTTGGGAGCTGTGGACTACCCTGTGACTCCAAAAGGCCTAGAATGAAGTTGTGCATTTCCTTTAAGATCCCTTCAAGGGCAGCCCCGGTGGCCCAGTGGTTTAGCGCTGCCTTAGGCCTGGGGTGTGATCCTGGAGACCCGGGATTGAATCCCATGTCGGGCTCCCTGCATGGAGCCTGCTGCTCCCTCTGCCTGTGTGTCTGCCTGTCTCTGTCTCTGTCTCTCTCTCTCTCTCTCTCTCTCTCTCTCTCTCTCATGAATAAATAAAATCTTTTAAAAAAAAATCTTTTCTAGTGTATTTTGTTTCTCTTGTACTTAGGAATTCAGACCGGATGAAAGGGATATTTACATATTGATCTTTAGGCCTCTCAGCAGCCCTTGTTTATCTAGACTCTTATCCTTCTTTACATAGAGTATTTAGGACTGCTTGGGTCTCCTATTTCTCTGACTTGCAAAATATATCTTCTCTTTTAAATATCACCTGGCCAAAACAGTTGTCTTTTCCACCGACGTTGCTTTTAAAATTGCCTGCTGCATAAATGCCATGCTCCACGTGGTATTAGTGATCTCCACCATCTGACTCCAATTTCCATTTCTCTCTTCTCCCCTACAGCCTTCCTCTACTACATCTTGGGGGTTTTAATCAGGTCCTGAACATGTGCTTCCCTCTCTTGGTCCTTTTGCTTAAACTTTTGTGCTCTGCCTACCCCTCTCCTCATGTGTCTGCATTCAAGTCCTTGATGGTCAATAGGATTTGTGATCCTGTCAACAGCAACTCCTTCTATCTTCAGCCCTCTGCACTGTGATGACCTGGTTCCTTAGACCTTGCTTGAATACTTATGTTACCCTGCCCGATGTAGGCTCTATCTTCTTGTCTTCTTTAGTATTTACTCAGTAATTTCATTTAGTAATCTTCAACTACTGTTTGAAGAAAGAATCAGCTTAAACTGGGCATTTGAACTGTTCTAAAACTTCACTTGGTTATTGGTGGCTTTCTTGCTCAGGCCCCAAAACAAAATGAAATATTCGTATTACCTGGCCAGTGGTGAAAAATTGGGTTTGGAATGTAAGAGACAGGGACCAAAGTCAGCCACACTGTGTGGTGTAAGCTCTTGGACGACAGCAGTCAGGCGACCTAACTTTGGAATGAAGTCACTTCTGTGGTCCATAGTACATTGTGCATTTTTGGCTTTGCCCAAGTAGAGTCCTGGAAAATCACAGTCATACTGGGGAAAATAGAGCTTGTTGGACCTCCTTTTATGTTTTCTCTTTTTTTTTAATTTTTATTTATTT